CTGTCTGCCTCCCTCCTCCCCGCTAGCACTACCTCCGCCGGCACGCCGGCCGGCGGACTATGAAAGCAGCCAATGGTATTTTTTTACCTCAACTGACCGAACATATACGCTTCTCTACTCCGAACAGTCAAGATGGTGTTTGTGGTGTCAAGACGGTCGAATGACTCATCAGACCACAGACCTATTTGAAAGGGATACGGCTGGTACTGTCCGCGCTTTCGAAGCGGTGGTGCAGATTAACTGGCATTGTTGAAGAAATACTGAATAACAATAGTTTATCGCTTTGTGTGCACGCATGATTATCCACTAATTCATAGGGTGAACGCTCTTTCAAGAAGCCCTTCCATGAGGTAAACGTGGTGGTGCGGTGGAACATGATACCACGATTGACCCACGAGTTGCTTTGAATTGACCCCTATGGATGCTCACTGTTGATTTAAAGCGTCATCCAGTTCGTGCAATGAGATCCCTACATTAATTTTATGATAAATCTTTCCAACTTATCCGCTATTCTCCACAGGTGACAGATCTGTCCGCTATCACACTTTGTCGAAAATAGACTAATTTGAAAACTTTGGCCTCTCATACTTGCCCTAAATTTCCGTACACGGCACTGTGATACAAAACGTGTTTTTTATGTAAGAGGAAGTGCGACAGCTTATGACACTCGAACTATAGAGGGCTATAGACTCTTCCACCAGCGCCTTAAAAGTAGAGCTCATGGGCCGGATCACAAAACTGAAGGTTATGTTTTACTTCGGAACCTCATTTTTTCACAAGCGCACGACATTTCCTTCGCGAAGTTACGGATCCATCGCCGCTGTCGTCACCAGGCGACCGTAGAGGATCACTATGATCGCCCTTCACGGACTCGAATTCCTGGCATGGATACTGGATAGTTTTTATAGCATAGAGAAGTACGGCTTGAAAGATTTTCATTACCGCCCCTCCCTAAATGGTGCCCACGTTATGCTGCAAGAACGTCCTCCATCAAATGCGATGGCACCACCTTCGGCCAGAATACTTCGCTGGTAACATGCTGAAGAGCGTTGGATACGATGAATCACTTGGAACCATTCTCCTTAAGACCTCTGAAGCCCACTTTGAGCGATTGCTCAGAATTCCTCTTTTGTTCGAGTAGAGCTCCAACCCTATTGGGCCGGTGGAGGGCAACAAAAACTTTTCCTGTAATACCTTTCTAGTGTTCCCAAAATGTTCGATTGCTCTTTAGATGTCCGATATTGAGCCCAGAAAACGTTTTGCAAGCGTTGATGACACATTTTATCGAAGGGCAAAACGAGCGCACGCACCAAGGATTCGAACCCTGATGTCACACCTGCCAGTCCACCACACTATCCGCTAGGCCACCACTGCAGTGGTAAGGGTTTGCTCGGCTCGGTGATTCGTTCATCGCATGGAGGGACTGGTCCCGTAGCTTTGTTCCCAGAATCGTTTAACAGATTTGAAACACAGATTTGAGATCAGCGTCCGAAACCACCTACGGCGGTATACATCTTATCTTGAATGGCCACTGCGACCAAGTATCCTTCCCTTGTGAGTAGAATATGATTGAACCTACTGTACTTTGTCGTCATCTCGCCCATGTCCTTGTAGTCTTTAATTGTCCTGAATATCGCGACGACATCTGCAGTAGTCGAGCGAGTGGGACATGTGGGAAGATGGGAAGAAGGAAGGTGGGGGGAGGGGTAGGGAAGAGAGGACATAAGGGAGAAGACAGGACGAGAGGGCAGGGGAGCCTAGACAAATGGTCGGAGTTAGCCTGGATGCTAAGGTGACGTCCGAGACCTCGACTCCTTGAAGAGGCTCCTTTTGTATCATGGTTTCTGGCTCAGTATTATGAAACAGTAGCAGGTGGCATGACGTGGTGCATCGGCGGAGGTGGTGAAACCCTGGCGGCTGTCTCGAGCTTGGACATGATTCGGCATAGCTGACATATGACTCGACAAGACCTCTACTACGAAGGAGGGAAACAGCAATTCGAGTTTATGTTGAACCGAATATATCCGTGCAGCCTTTTTCATTACGCCTCACCATGACTTCGGTGAGTCCCCCACCTGCACAGCTACTCCACAGCCACCTTATATGCAACGGACGTGAGACAATCTCGAAGCTAAACTTCCAATAAAATCTCCGGTTTGGGAACTATCTACAAGTAAGGACAGCACGGTTACCGCAATGATACCAGATATGGTATTAGCCGATGTGACGATAAACTATCAATCCACTTTGGAGGAGGTGGCGATAATGATCCGCAACGATCACGTTCGATATAGGACACGGACCTCAACGGATGCTATAGTTGCTCACAAAGAGCACGAACGATGGTATATTGCACATTAGGGGAGGCCATTTGTGACCAAGATTCCTTTGTCATACCGTGTTGGCAAACAGAAACATTGCTACATTTCAACTTCAATTCGGTACGGCAATTCCTTAGCTGCTCGATATCCTGTGGATCCAGTACAAACTATTTCGTAATCGCTGGAGCCAAATATACTGGGAACCTTTTGATGGTTTCCGCAACGCTACTCGAAGGGAATAGCACTACCTTCTATACTATCCAATGACCGTGTGTGAGCTACACGATCGACGTTGTCCTGAATGGTACAAAGCGCTGCTTCTAGGCACACTATTCCTGGTCGTGGCTTTGCTGCTGTCATACTTCTATCTACCAACAGTAGCCTCCGTCTGGGCCGCTTTGCCGGTAGCACCATCTGTATACTTTTATTCTGCCCCCCGAAGGCACCCCTACGAAGGATTCGAACGTCAGTGCGGAAGGAAAGTGCCGTACTACCTATCACGCTTGAAAAAGTATTCTAGTCCGGAAAACAGCGAGCAACTTGCTGAATGTAGCGCATGTGCTTTTAGATGCCTAGACGCTTAGACCCTTGTATAGGGCTACTGCTATTACTCTAGAGATCACCACGCAATAGAAGACTTCGCAGTTTAGAATATGGAACGCCGACACACGGAACGCCTGCAAATTGACTACGCCGCCATCCTCGAAGCCCTTCCGCCACTTCCAAAACCGGAAGATCCCCACGCGAGAATCATCAGGACGTGTAGACAGTTTTGGGTCAAAATCAGTCGACAACCTGGGATCGTCGATACGCTCGCGAAGGATCTTACGAGATTCATGGCGGGAACGTTCCACTTTATGTCGTTAAGTGTTAGTAGAGTCGGTCGAGAGGGTCAGGTTCGAGCTTCTTTTTGGACGATTACAACTCGCTACCTGGGCTATACCAAGCTTGCTAATCGCAAAGCAAAGGATAGAACCGGAAGTATGGAGGATGGATCATTAGGCAAAAAATGGACGATGACGGAAACCCACAATTCGTCAAATACACCCAGCTCGACATACTGAAGAACCAATCTACGAGAGTATGGCGAGACACTCGAACATGAGAATCGTCAGAAGGATCGCTAGTTTCGTGACCAGCTACTGGCAGAGCTGGAGTCATTGCGAAATCTCATCCCGGATACTCATGAAACTCATTCCGCGGCCATCGAAACAACAGACAGGCAACAAGGGAGACGAAGCCCAGATGATCCGGAATAATGTGCAATTTAAGGAAAAGCTGAATGACCCTGACAAGGAAGTACAGATGTGGACGTCGATGAGGACGCGCAGAGGGGTAACAAAAAACGGCACAAAAGCTATTCAGGAAGAGCAGGGAAAGGATAGCAGAGATGGCGTTGAAGCAAGGAGGCAGAAAGGAATAACCCTAAGGAGGAACGTGAGATCCGTCTCGAAGAACATGGGAATGGTCTCGAAGTAGAAGAAGAACCCGAAATCCGTAACGACGCGCACGCTGTGCCGAACTGCTACAGCAGCTACAACAGGCAAGACAAGCCGCGACATTCGAGGGAGGATCAATAAAGTGGAAAGCAGGGAACGATGTCAAGTACGAACATTCGACGGCACAATCCAAAGCGATTCATGCCGTGCGCTTACTGCGGACGTAAAGGGGATCACTATTCCGACTCATGCACAGTGTGTGCATGTCCACGGGAGAGCGAGGGAGAATCGTGGATCGAGCACAGCTAGGCCCATGCGCCTCTACTACAACTGTTCCAGAGGAGATTATGCCGGAAGCGTTACACGATATGCTTTTACTGCAACCAGACTGGGCACCATTCGGCGCTGTGCACCCTTCCGGAGTGCACGTATCAAAGACGAGCAGGAATTATTACAACGACGGTACGATAACACCCAAATAGCGTCCACAGACTGCGATCAAGATTTGAGAGGCGAAGAGTGGACGTGTAACTTCATCACGACAATCGGGTCGGGCCCGGCAATATCACGGCAAGCCGCCAGTTGCGAGACTTACGTGAGACGAGAAAAAGTGTATATGTAGTATACATAGATGTAGCTTATATCAACCTCATGATGAACCTGCTATAAATCTCTCTGACACAGAAAAGGCTCTATGCAATCGGAAGAATAGGACCGTCCAGATGTGCTCTTCTTTGGTGTGTCAGCGAAAACACCATACAAAAGTGCCTTGACAGCTAGCTATGGTCTGCGCACGTGCGGCTGTCACTCCTTAATAAAAGGGACGTCAGAATCCAGCCCCCTCGCCAATCTCAGTCCTAATATGTAATATATAAGTACTCTCTTGTCATACACTTTCAGGTTTTACTCGGATGATCTCTCATTTTAATCAGTGCCTTTGCCCCACACTATGTACTTCTTCTTAAGCTTGACGTTTCTATGAACATCCACTACCTGGGTTTAATTACCCAATTTGAGGTACACGTTTTCTACGGCAATAAAGTGGTGATAATCTGTCGTTTAAGTGTGTTGGTGGCAAGAATATCGTGACGAAAGTTAAGGGCTATCCACGATATAAGTCAAGGTTAGTCCATAAAAGAGGTGTGGCGGCAAGACTGACGAAATCTCGATGGATGACTCGACAACATATCAATGGAAGAAAGAAATTGCTATGGAAAGAGAAGACGGTACAGGAAAAGGTTCAGAAATAAGCTGCCATCAACTGAAGAGACCGACGCCTGCTCCAGGGACAAACTGGAACAGATGGCACCGTTCAAAATGTCAACCAGAACATTTCTGGACGACCACGGCTATCTGCCAGACCTAAGAAAGGAGAGCAGGTACTGGAAACCTCTAGCCGATACCCTGAGAAATCTCTGGAGCAGACGGCTCGGTAGACAGACTTTCCAAAGGAGAAGGTCCATCGCATCTCGGCTCGTTATTTGGACAATGACGACCGTCAATTCAAAATTTGCTAACATGATTCATTCCTCACGTTGTCTTCTATCATTCAAGCCTTAGAACTCTCCTCTAAGTTCATGTTTTATCGTTTTATAGCCAATGCAATTGTTCAAACATAAAGCCATTGCAATTTTTTTCTTTACAAATTTTGCATTGCCTCATCGAATGAATGTACAACGTGGTCAAACTCACCGAGGTATGTTCCTATAAATTCTATCTTGCTTCTCTTGTTATTCAGGTACTTTGGTTGTTATCGAAAGCCCGTGCATATCTCGTATTTCATTTTTGAGAACACCTACAAAGAGAAAAGAAGATTCTGTTGAATAAACAAAACATAATATTCTCAATCTCGCTGACCTTTTCACTATTCTTAGAGTATCGAAGAGAATCGAAGCCCATCAGAGTAACAAACCTGTGACCAATTTATGTTGAGCAACCCTTGTCAGACCTTTGAAAGCTTTGGACTCCACAAAAACCGAATACATTGATCCACAGCCACCTGAAATGTATTATAAAAAGTGCAGTTCCTCACCCGTATATGTTCACAAGCAAACTAATAATTTGGCAAAGAAGTAAATGCGTAAATTGGAGGAAATATAGTCACCTTTTTTTGAGAAACAAACATATTTATTTAGTAATATAATGACCATTAAATACTCTGGCACCTGGTCTAAATATAAATCAAAAACAGGTAGTTACCCTTTAAGATAGATGTTTTCGTAAGAATAAACAGTAACATTGCTCTCAAGTTAACAGAATATGCAAGTACCAGTCGGATCGCCCAGCTAACGCCGGGCTCTCCTACTTCCTATGAAATGCCCGGCTACGCCGGGCATCCTCCTTTTCATATAAGGTCGGATCGCTGGCTAACGCCAGGCTATCGACCTTGTTGTGTCAAACACCCCATCCCGAGAAATGTTGAACTGAAGAGTTTTTTCCCTTTTTCAAAGTTAATAAATTTTAAGTTTTTTTCCGCTGTTCAGCTAAATTTAAGTTTTCCGGTGTTCAGCTGAGTTAGAGTATGGAACTAAAACAGAGCTTGAAATAGAATATGTCGTCGTAGCATATCACATAGTCGCCCGGGCTTCCCTCCTTCTTTTACAAAGTTGCAGTGAGTCGGCTAACTCTCCACTCCATTTTTGTTTCCTGTACACGAAATTTGACATAGAACTAACAGGGCAGTACAAATGATATTATGTGAAAGTTGGTGTTTACGCCTTCAATTGAAAGAGTCGATCTTCTGCTCTCTTTCTCAAGAAGAAATACCCATTAAAAATTCAACTGTCAGATTACCAAAGGTGATGCTGTGGAGATGTCCTTAATGATGATATCAGCATTATCAGATGTTTTTATCAATGGATCTTTCTTTACGGAGATTTCATTAGTTGAGAATTCCAGATTACTGGCGGTC